TCTTTTTTTAGTTTTTACCCCTCCTTACTCACCCATATTTCCCTACGCCCTATACAGACCAGGCACAGGACCTGGTCTTAGGTGTATATGTGGTAAGTTTACTTTCTCTCCTCTTTCTATGCAGTCAGTATAAAAACGCAGCCTATGGTAAGCACCAGGAGACTTTTTTTTTAAGTTCTTAAAGTTCCATTTGGATTTTTTTATAGCTTCTATTTCCCTGTTGAAATTTTCCATCTTGCTTACTTTTGTCCATCTTTTCCTCTAAATATTTTAATATATTACAAATTTCCTTGTGTCCTAATTCCAGCATTTAGGTCATCTGTGAAGCTGCTACTGATGTTTTTGTTTTTCTCTCCATAAGGACCACATTTTCCTGCTTTTTCAGGGCTTATAGTTCTTTTATTATAGGCCAGAATTAACATTATAAAAGAACAATGGAGATGAAGTAGATAATAACTTGCTCTTTTGTCTCTCAAGCAGTTTGGATGAGGGGCTGATCTGTTTGTAATCAGAAGTTAAGCTTTGTTAGTTTGGTTTAACTTTTGTTTCAGATGCCCAGAGAATGAGGTGAGATCCCACCTTTGAGCATAACTTTGATATTTAAGGACTATGAATCTATAAGATTCCTCTCTATTCCAGACCTGACTTCAACCATAAAAATCCCTATGCGGAGAATTGACAGGTAGGGGTTAGCTTTGCCTCTGTCTTCCCTGAGGTACCATCTACCCCACAGCCTAGCTCAGTTATTTAAGGATCAACTCCTCCTTTTCCATGCAATATTTACTGCCTGTGGTAAGCTTGCCCCCTCTGCTGGACTTTGACCCCAGGGAACAAAGTGTTCCCTGGTTTGGATCACCTAGAAAGGGCACATTTCTTACTGGAATTTGGTCCATTTTCTCTTTGCTTTCATAGCTCTTTGATGTCTTTAAAAAAATAAGTTTTTTCTTTTTAAATTTATCCAGTAGAAATGGTGGTATTTTGTGGACTTTCCTGTTCTGATTGGAAGTAGAACTCTGAGCAACTAATGGGAAAAGAATTCCTTTCTGCAAATCCCTCTTACAGTTCTCAGTGGGATGACTGTACTGGGCAGAGTGGAGGTAATTTTGAGTGTATGTATCTGTCATTATTGGGTGATTTACTGTGAAGAGTCATCACATCATGATACTAATGGACTCTTGTCTGAATTTAGGCCAACCGAGACCTTCTTCATGTCGCACTTAAACAGTTCTGCAGATTTCAGCGTTGGCTTTCACTGTGAGGTCTAAGTTAGCATATCTCTACCTTTTCTGTAATGCAGACTTGCATTGGGAGTGAAGTACTTAATTTTGGAAATCTCCGGAAGTAAAATGGCACAAACATTGAATGAAAGTTATCATCATGAAATGTGTTAACTCTATTATGTATATTATAAGGCAACTTTATTTTTATTTTTTATTTTTGGTGGAACTGGGGTTTGTACTCAGGTCTTCATGCTTGGGCAGCAGGTGCTCTTCCACTTTAGCCATATTTCCAGTCCATCTTGCTCTGGTTATTTTGGAAATGGGTTCTTGTGAACTATTTATCTGAACTGGCCTCAAACTCAGCCTCTTAAGTAGCTAGGATTACAGGCCACTGACATCCGATACAACTTTATTTTTTATTAATATATAAGCTGTAAGGTAATTATTGCTCAGATAGCTTTTGTTCTCTTAGGGTAAGATTTTGTGTGTGTGTGTGTGTGTGTGTGTGTGTGTGTGTGTTTATTATATATGCTCCTTGACTTATAATGAATTCAAATCCTGATGAGCCCATCATAAGTTGAAATTTCCAAGTTTAAAATGCATTTAATTCACCTACACTTAGCTTACTACCTTCTCATACACCTAGCTTAGCCTTCTCTGTCATAACATGCTCTGAACACTTACATTAGCCTACAGTTGGGCAAAATCATCTACCACAAAGGCTATTTTATAATTAAGTATTGAGTATCTCATGAAATGTATTGAATTCCTGAATCAAAAAAAAAAAAATTCTGGTCACATAGGGTACTGTACAGTGACAACAGTTGTTTACCTTCCTGCTGAGTGTGCCTAACTGAGGGCTGAGGCTAGTGCCTCTGGCACACACCTCTGGAGAGAGTAGCAGCAGAGCATGGCGCCAGTTAGCACTATCTTGGGAAAAGATCAAAATCTAAAATTAAATGTGCCTTTTCTATTGAGTGCATATTTGTTTTTGCACCTTTGAAAAACCAAAAACTTGTAAGTAGAAAGAACTATTGTAGGTTTATTAGAATATTTTCTTACATCTTAGGTTTCTTTCTTTAAAAAAAAAAAAAACCTTATTTTTATTGTGTTAAAATTGGTGACCATGGAAACTAATTGATAGCAACAGAAAGCATGGCAGTGGTTGCTGGAGATGGGCAAAGGAAGACACAGGAGGGAGGGACCGTTAGGATGTGATACAGATGTTCCTTATTATGATTGTGCTCATTTTGCTTGTACTCAATAAAGTTGAAAAATTTACATTCAGTTAAATGCAGAGGCCTTCAGTATAGAGTTTAGTGAGTTTTAACAAATGCATATACCTGCATAACAAATCCAAGCAGGGGACAGACCGTTTCCATCACTGTCAGCCCCCCAGGCAACCATCGTTTTCATTTCCAGCACATATGGTAGTTTTGCTTGTTTTTGCTTAACTGGATGTTTTTGAGATTTATTCATGTGTGGTTTTTTGTTTTGTTTTGTGGTGGTACTGGGGTTTGAACTCAGGGCTTCATGCTAGCTAGATAAACGCTCTGTCACTTGAGCCATTCCACCAGCTAATTCATTATTTTTAAAAACTGATTTGTTGAAATACAATTCATGTAACAAAAATAGTTTTGAAATGAACAATTCAGTGACATTTAATAGTCACAATATTGTACTATCAGCTCCCACCTTCTCTAGTTTCAAGAAATTTCCTTGTCTTCAAAAATACAAAAACCCTTTTCTCATTTAGCAGTTTCTGCTCATCTCTCCCTCCCCCATCCCTTAACAATCACCATTTCTGCACTGTGTTTTAATTCTGTATTTATTCTAGATATTTCATATAAATAGAATAATACAAAATGTAACCTTTTATAGCTGGTTTCTTTCACTTACCATAATGTATTAGAGGTACATCCACAATGTAGCATGTGTCATCAGCACTTTATTCCTTTTGTGGCCAAATAATAGTCCATTATATGCATATACCACATTTTGTTTATCCATCTGTTGTTGGCATTTAATTTGTTTCCAACTTTTCGTTGTTGTGAATAGTGTTGCTGTAACATGTGCATGCATGTAATTGTTTGAGTACCTATATTTAGTTCTTTTGGTTCTCTACCCAGGAGTGTGATTGTGGAGTCATGATAATTTGGTTTAATTTTTAAAGGATGCATCAAACTATTTTTCATAGCATCTCTACGACTTGATACTCCTATCAGTAATGTGGGTTCCCATTTCTCCATGTCATTGCCAGTGCTTGCTATTTGTCTTCTTTAAGTTATAACCAGCCTAGTGAGTGTGAAGTGGTATCTTGTTGTATGTGTGATGTGTATTTCCCTAATGACTATTGATGTTGAGCATCTTTTTATGTCGTTGTTGGAAAATGCAAATGTAAGTCTTTTCAAGTCTTCTGCCAGATATTTTAATTGGGTTGTTTTCTTGGGTTATCTTTTTTGCTATTTTGATTTTTGTCTTTTTGTTCTTTTGTTGCTGAGTTTTTTGGGTTTTATAGACACTAGACATTATGTATTGATCAGCTGATGCAATTTAGGTTGTTTCCACCTCAGTTACTGTGAGTAATACTACAGTGAAGATGGGAGTATAAAGTCACTATGAGAACGTGATTCAATTGTTTCAACAAATATTAGGAAGTAGGATTATAGAGTATATAGAGTTTTTAATTTTGATTAGTTCTAATTTATTTTTCTCTTGTGATGCAAAAGATACAGTCCTTTTGCATCATATCTGAGAATTCATTGTCAATCCAGGATCATGAAGTTTTACTTTTATGTTTTCTTTTAATAGTTCTGTGATTTTAGCTCATATTTAAGTTAAGTTTTGTGTATGGTATGAGGTAGAAGTCCAGCCTTGCTCTTTGGCATGTGAATATCCAGTTTTCTCGCACCATTTGTTGAAGAATGCTCTATTCCTTTGAATTGTCTTGGCACCCTTGCCAAAAATCAGTTGATAGCCGGGTGGAGGTGGCTCATGCCTGTGATCTTAGCTACTCAGGAGGCAGAGATCAGGAGGATCAAGGCCAGCCCAGGCAAAGAGTTCACGAGAGTGCATCTTGAAAATACCCAACACAAAATAGGGCTGGTGGAGTTGTTCAGGTGTTAACCTGTTTAGCAACTGTGAGGCCCTGAGTTCAAACCCTAGTTTACAAAAAAAAAAATAAATAAACGTCGACTATAGATGTGAGTTTATTTCTGGACTCTCAGTTTTTGTCTATCTATATGCCAGAACAGAACCATGCGTTTTGATTACTAAAGCTTTGAAGTAATATTTGAAATTGGGAAGCATGAGTCCTCCAGCCATCTTCTTTTTTAAGAGTGTTTTGGTTGTTTGGGGCCTCTTAAAATTTCATGCTAATTCAAGGATTGGTTTCATATTTCTTCAGTTCAGTCTTTACTGCTAAGTAATAGTGTGTGAATGTAGGCAGTTGGCTTATCCAGAGTCCTATTAAGTATATTCTCCAGTTGATGGAGAATGAATAAGCACGTGTATTCTGTTCTTTGATCTGTGTTTCCTTTCTTACGTTAATTTGGAGCTAGAGCTGTTGTTTTTGTCAAGCTCTACCTTAAATGAATTTATTCTTCAAAAGCATTTGTTGCTAAGGAACCAGTGCCTTTTTGGCCATGTCTTTTACATTCCAGCTTTAGAAGATGATGTGTTTTCAAGGCTTAATATTCTTTGTTCATGATTTATACATGTTTTATCAAGAAAAATAACACTCTGAGTTACTTGCAAATAATTTACCTTCTTTCTTCACAGGTGCCCTTTTTATCTCCTTTGGAAGGTCATATTTACTTAAAAATAAACTGTCAAGTGAATTCAAGTGTTGAAGAAAAAGGTTTTCTAGTAAGTCACTTCACTTGATTGTTACTGTCTTCTGTTTTGTGAGCTGTAGACTTGGTCTCCTGTTCGAATAAAAGCCTGTAATCAATGATGAGTTGCTTTGGTGAAGATTTGCCTTATGTCCTCCATATGCCACAGACTGTGCTGGTACTGGAACAAAATAGGCCACCAAAGATAATCCCTCCATTAAGTTTAAGAGAGAGAAATAGAGAGCAGACAAGTACTTTATAGTGCCATAATAGGAGAAAGCATAGTGGTGCAGAGGTGAGAACTGTGATATACCTGTGTTGTGGGTGGGCAAGGGTAATGGAAGAAACTACTGGAAAAAGTAACTCCTAATCTGCTAACTGAAAAAGTTAGCCAGGGGGAAGGAGAGAAGTGCTCCAGATAAAGGGGAATATTCACAGTGGCATGGGTCCCCTACATTCCTCACACTGTCACAAAGGATGATACACTTAGAGAGGAGCAGGTATTTTAGGATAGTTAGAGCTTAGTGTTGGGGGTGGTGGATGAGGAGAGTATGGTTAGGGAAATGGGCTGCTTCAAGAATCTGGACTTTATTCTGCAGCCTCTTGGCTACTACTGTAGGATTTTAAGCAGAGGAAAATATCAACTTTGAAGTTTAGAAAAATCAATTTTAAACTTTTTCTTTGTTAGCATGTATTGTACAAAAGGGTTTCATTGTGATATTTCCATGCATGCATATAATATACTTTGATTAAATTCACCCCCTATATTATTCTTGTCCTCTCCTGCCCCTGCCTTTTAAAACGAGTTTAGCAGGTTTCTTTATTCTATTTCTATACATGAACATAAGAACTTCGACCACATTCACCCCTGCTTCATCCTTCCCCCTCCCACTGGTTCTAACCCCTAAACAGTCCCAATTTACACTCCTGTAATTCATATTTTTAAGGTGTAGATACTGCATATGGGAAAGAACATGCAATATTTGTCTTTCTCAGCCTGGTTTATTTCACTTAACATGATGATCTCTAGTCCTGTCTATTTACCTGCAAGCATCATAATTTCATTCTTCTTTATGGCTGTGGGGATATGTACCACATTTTCTTTATCCATTTATTGGTTGACCGGCACCTGGGTTGATTCCATAGTTTGGCATTGTGAATAATGGTACTATAAACATAAACATGGGTGTGCAAGTGTCTCTATTGTATCCTAGCTTAGATTCCTTCAGATACCTGCTCAGAAGTCATATAGTAGGATCATAAGGTGATTCTAGTTTTTGAGTTTTAAGAGACCTACATAGTACTGCTCTAATTTACATTCCCACCAACAGTATATAGGTTCTTTCCTCTTCCCCTCATCCTTGTCAGCTTTGTTCTTATTTGTTTAGAAAACATTTTGACTGTGTGGAAACTAGATTAGAGAATGGTGACCCTGAAAGACCAGTTAGGAGACTGTTACTTCATATGAGTGACAAGTGGGGACCCAGCATGGAGAAATGAAGGAGAAAGAAAGTGCAGGTACTAGCTGTTTGTCTATGTGGAGTGGGAAAGAATCACCTTGCATGACTTGAGTGTCAGGGATAGTACTAGAAAAGGGACTTGGGAGCAAGTGTAATTAATTCTTCCCACATTTGGAATGGGGAATAGTATATTCTTCCCCACCATTTTATTGTGAACATGGAAAGCAAACAACAATGTTGATAGAAATTTATAATGAACACTCATCTGCCCACCTTCTAGATTTTATTTTTAACCTGTAACACTTTTTACTGTCCTTGCTTTTTCATATATCTACCATCTAGTCATCCTTTAGCCATCCCTTGAGCCATTGCCCAATCTGTCTTATTTTTGGGGGAAGAATTCAAAGTATATTATAGATGTTAGGTATTTTCCCCTAAAACTTAAGCACATATTCCCTGAATTTCACCTCTGTAACCCAAGTTTCCATTCAGATATGGACTATTACCATCATCTCAGAAAGTTCATGTCTCTTCCCAGCCAATTCCCACCCACAATGGAATTAAACAATTTGAGTTTTGGATGCCTAGAGACATGTTTCAAAGATCTAGGTTTGGGACTCAAGGTTGGTCTTTTAGCTGAGGTAGAGATTTGGATGTCTGAAGTATAGTGGTGGTGATAAAAGGCTGGGACCAGTGAGGGAGACTGACAGGAGAAGCAGCAACACTTAAAAGACAGGACAAAGGAGAGAAGTCCTCAGAGGGGACTGTGGGATAGACATGGAGAGTTTATTGTCATGATAGCCAAGTGAAGAGAGATGGAAGGAGGGAGTGAGGGCAAATTAGATAAGGATCATTACTACCTTTGTTCCAGCCTGGGCTAAAGCAGATGCTAGAATGCAAATATGATAGATTTCGGTGCATGGGAGGTGAGGAACAGGAACAACTCTTGGAAACAAAGTTTGGCAGCAAAGGGGTAAAGAGAGGAGAGTATGATACATGCAGAGATCCATAAGGTAAAAGGTTTTTATCCACATTTTATTAACATGGGAAATAACTGAGCAGTGTTAAATGAAAATGTGTGGCTTTGGCTATAGCCAAAGAGGTTGAAGATAGAGGCCAAGAGAGTCTGAACTAGGTTATTCATGAAAGCAAGGTCATGAAAGAGGAAGAAAGGAGCCCAAACCATAGCTCACAGGATCGTTTTTTACAGAATTATACTTTTTTTCATTATCAGAGAAGGGTCAGCATGTGGAATGCATAGAAGATTGTGGGAATGGTGAAAGTCTGCTTTTTTCTTTTTGTGATGTAAGAATTTGAATGATACAAATCAGTTTGCAGTTGCAGTTGAAGGGTACAGAAAGAGAGCTAGATTGTAAGAAAAGTCTCTGTAGCCTAGGTAAATCAGACTTCTCATGAACTCCCCCCTCCCCCCCCACCCATTAGCTATTTTTCACATTCAGGTCCAGCAGGTGGCACTAGATATTCTTAGGTTTTTTAAATTACTTTTTTGTTTGTTTGTTTTTGCTTTTTTTTTTAATATATAAATTTCTGACTTTAAAACCATGCTTACCTTCTGACCTTTTCCTCACTTTAAAAAATATTTTAATTTTTTATTTGAAAAGTAAAAATTGTATATATTTATGTTGTACAATATGGAATTTTGATATATGTAACCATTACAGAATGATTAAATCAAGTTATCCTACTGACTTTTTTTGTGGTACTAGTGCTTGAACTCAGGGCCTTCACCTTGAGCCACTCCACCAGCCCTATTTTTGTGAAGGGTTTTTAGAGACAGGTTCTTGTGGAACTATTTGCCTGGGCTGGCTTCCAACTGTGATCTTCCTGATCTCTACCTCCTGAGTAGCTAGGATTATAGGCATGAGCCACCGGCATCTGGTGTACTGACCTTTTAATGTAAATATTTTCATATTTTAGAATAAACACCTTTAGCAACAAATAGGCTCTGTTGTGGTAGCTGGTTCCTTTGTATATAATGCCTGGCCTATTTAATTTTTGAGCTCTTCACTAGTTTGCTAGGTCAAGACAGTTTACTGTCTTGAATCCTAAAGCTAATTATATCCCACTCTCAGAAATACAGTAAGAAAGAGCTTTGGAAAGCTCCACACAACTTCTACCCCTGCCTAAACAATGCATTTTAGTTCTCCCAGCTGTCTCCTTATTGAAATGAAATGGAAGCTGTTTGGTCCTGTCCCCTTCTGCTATGTTAGGACCAACAGGAAGAGGAAGCCTGTAATCAGAGAAGCCAGTGCCTGAGTCTCAAATGGTCAGGCTAGGGCTTGACAGATGAACAGCAGGAAAAGGGCATTCTGGCTGGGCAGCTAGAAGGTTCTAGTTCTATCTGCTGTTACTTAATTCCACTGGCCCTCTGTTTCCTCAGCTACAAAGAGAAAAATTGTTCTCTCATTCTTCTCTGATTATAGTTAGGATGTAATAATAAGTGCTATTATTCTTATCCCTCAAATTTTTCCCTATTTCCTTTATGATGTAAGAGGTGAACAAAGACGCAGGATGGAGCTTGTGAGTCACTTGTATTGACTTGTGCATGAGATTGAAATGGCCAGATTCCTTTCTCTCTTCCTTGACTATGAACAATGTTGCTGAAACATGCCTTGGGGAAAGAGGAGTGAAGGGAGGAGAAAAAAGGGCAGGAGGGAATATGGTTACAGTAAAGTAATTAATAAAATTGAGGCTTCACTCTACTGCAGAAACTTTTCCTCTCACACAAAGTGACTTTCCTCTATGGCCAGAAATTGCACTCAGTCAGGCCAGCGTTGGACCTTCACAGAAGTCAGTGATTGAAAAGAATATTTCCTCCTATCACGGGGCTGGCAGGGGCCTTGTTGAGACAATACCCAAAATGTGCTTAGAATGGTGTCGCTCACAAACACCAAATAATGTTAGTATTAACTGTTCAGCAATCAAAAAAGGTGAAATTGTGAGTTCTTGAGTTTTAACTCAGGGCCTTATGCTTGCTAGGCCACTTACATAAGTGGCCTTATATAAGTGGTCCTATACTTGCCAGTTGAGCCATGCCTCTAGTCTAAAGTTGTGATTTCAAGGTGGAAAAGCCTTATTGCTTTCTGCAAGGAAACACAAAGATGCCTTTGGACTATCGGCACTGGGGACAGACTTCTACAGACATATGCTTCTCTGTTCACCTAGTGTCTCTGGCTGCCTTTGTGCTGCAGCAGAAAGCTGAATATTCGTGGCAGAGACTGTGTGGACCATGAAGTCTGAAATACTTATTTACTCTTTGGCTCCATACAGAAGCAGATTGCCTACTCCTGTCCTGCAGCATTGCTACCTTTTTTTCTTGCTTTGTTCTTTAACATAAAAGTTCTCTAGTTTTTCAAAAAATGAAAAGTGAGTTTAAAAAAATTTTTTTTTAAACAAATAAGGGTCTGTGCTGACTACACCTGAAAAATCGTGAAGGATCTCCTCATACTATTAAATGGAAGTATTTCCATGAAAAAAAAATCCAAATGTTATTAGTTACCTGTTCTGCAGTCCTATCTAACCAGCACACTGTGACACCTATCTGTAGAATGTCACTTGCATTCTAAGACCTGGGCTGGCCAAAGGCCTGACTTCAGGGAGTGCCACTCCAAAGTGTGCTTGATGATAAGATGGTGGACTCAGAGTTGATGGTTATCACACTGTCGCATCTGGGCCTGCCATCAAGAATTGACTCCTTTCCTACCCTGTCAGAAAAAGTCTGTTCTCTTGGAGAAAATATAAGGCCATCCAATCAGTGTTCCGTGTGAAGATACCTTTAGTTAGTATTCTATCACTAGGTTTTTGTTTTTAAATATGTAAGGTATGACACTGTTATAATTTCTACTCCAAGACTTGAGGCTCTTCTTTCTTGTTTAAAAAGCATTTAGCGAGGGACATGTTGCTTTTGAAAAGTTTGAAGTTGGGTAGAGATATTTATTTGGAGTTATTTGGATATTCTTAAGTCTTTATGGGTAGATTATAAAAACAACCAGATTTTCTTACTAAGGCAAAAGACATAAGAATCATACAAATAGATTTTGACATGAAATATGACAGTATGGAACTTTTAAACATGCAGAATCAGTAGTACTTCATTGTTAGGACATTTCCCTACAGTTTCTGAAGTTAACATTTCTGTTGATTTTTTTCAGACGATATTTGAAGATGTAAGTGGTTTTGGTGCCTGGCATCGAAGGTGGTGTGTTCTGTCTGGAAACTGTATCTCTTACTGGACTTACCCGGATGATGAGAGGCGAAAGGTATTTAAATAGTACTGGTCAGTGGTGAAAGCCCTGGTTGACTTTCATGTGGTTTTCCTGCAAGTGCTCCCTCTCCTTCTGCCCCATCCACCCAGATTCCCCTAAGCATGGACTTGTTCCTGCTGCAGATGCTCCTATGTGCGTGGGTGGGTGTGGAGATTTTATATCCTGACCATTCCTTAAGATTTGACCACTCTTAATATACCCCATGGTATGTATTTTTCCTTCTTTTCTCTTGAAATGTTTCATCATATATTTTGTTGACAATTTTAGTTGGAAATATGTTAAATTCAATTTGTTATTTTATTAGCTAGTTGTCTTTCCTATATCTGGGATGAACCAGTAATAGAAAACTAGCCACAGGAATGTAACAGTTTTGGTTTTGTTTCTAACTTAACAATATGATTTTGTGCAGCAAATTAGATATCATTTTTAAAGAACATGATATTATCACCAAGTATGACTATTTATTCAACCCCAAACTGAAAAATAGAAACAAGCAGGATTAACAAGGAAAATCATCTATAACAGAGTTAATTACTGCCATCTATCCTCCTAAACTTTAAAAATACATAATATGCAATAGTAATTATGTATTTAGTTTTTAAGCTTTTTTTCCTTCTCTTCTCTTTTTTTTGGGGGTTGGGAACCAAACCTAGGGCCTTGTGCTTGCTAGGCAAGTGCTGTACCACTGAGTTAAATCCCAATCCTTCATGAATCCTTTTAAAACTCAAAGCAGCACTTTTTTTTAATAGCAGTTATTAAATAGTACTACATTGTAATCATTAAAATTAATTTTTTAAAAAATATCTTGCAAAATGCTTGAGACATTCAAGATGGCATAAAAATAACTTTAGCCAACCTCTGAAACTCTCCTAGTTGAAGCTCCTTATACTGTTCTCTTTCCCCCAGGAGAACTCCTGTATAAAAGGGTCCATTGTGCCTAAGTAGCTCTTTAATTTTATTGTATACATACAATGTATACTATTGCAATTGCATGTTTTTCAATATTGTACAAATAATGTTCATTATGCATATTATTCTACAACTTGACTGTTTTGGGTCAACATGGTGTATGTAGTTAGTCTAGGTTGATTTATGTAGCTCTAGTTTGTTCCTTTCCCTCTGCAGTAGAGTATTCCCTTATAAGAACATGTCACAATTAATTTATTCATTTATTCATTTTCCTGTTTTTGAACATTATTTCTAAACTGTTGATATCACAAACAGTACAACTGTGATTTAGCTTCTTAGATACATGGGTGAGAGTTCTTTCTTGAGTTTAACCTACAGTAGGATTGCTGGGTTATAGGATTTGTACATCTTCAGCTTTGACTAGATTTTGTTAAATGATTCTTGAAACTGGTTGTAAAATTTTCCATTCCTACCCAAGCATATGTAAGAATTCTCAGTTTTCCATATTCCCATCAACACTTAATATATTAGCCTTTAAATTTTTGTCAGTATGATAGATATAAAATGTTATCTCACTGTTTTTATTTTCTATCTGCTTGATTACTAGAGTAAGCATCTTTTCTTGTGTATATGGTCAATTATATTTTTCTCTTTTATTACTTTTTTTTTTTTTTGGACAGGGTCTCACTGTGTAGCTCAGATCTTCCTGTTCTGGGGATAGGTGTGTACCACCATGCCCAAGGCTGATTTTCTATATGCTGTAACAATTTTTTTCTCTTTTTTGGTAAATTGCAATTATGTTTCTTTGGTCTTTGGCTTGGCTTATCTCTTAGCTTTATAGGTTTTGCATGAATAGTTTTTTTTTTACTGTTAAGGAAATCAGATCTATCAATCTGTTTCATTGTTTGTGGGTTTTTTTGTTTTTTTGTCTCAAGAAAACTGTTCTCCAGTCAAAAAGATTTCTCTTATGCCTCCTCAAAATTTTATACTTCACCTTTTATTTACCTAGAATTGTGTGTGTGTGTGTGTGTGTGTGTGTGTGTTTGGATAATCACTGAATGGCTAATCCTTTCCCCACTGAACTGCAATGCCATCTCTGGCATGAATCAAGATATTTATTAAATTGGGTGTGATGGTACATGCCTGTAAATCCCAGCATTCAGGTGGCAGAGGCAAAAGGAGTTTGAGGCCAGCCTTGAATATACAGGGAGACCTTGTCGCAAAAATAATGTGTATAACATACCACTGTGTATTTTTTGACTTTTTGGGGTTTTTTTGTCTGTTTCTATATCCCAGATTCCATTACTGTAGTTTTATAATAAATCTTCATGCCTGGTAATGAAAATCTCCTAATTTGTTCTTCCCCAATAATTTATTACTATTCTTGGCCCTTGCTTTTTTTCATATTCACACACATGGAAATATATATACACATACGTATTTTACTTTCAATATTTAAAATTGCTCAAATGCATACAAAACAGACGTGAATTCCCAACTTCAGTATTTTCATGTTTCATTTATATCTCTGCAACACATATTCTTTCTTGTTCTTGTTGCATTGCTGGGGTGCTTAACATGAGTTAGGCTTCCTGTTAAACCATTTCATTTATTCGAGCCCAGGCTGTAGGTTCCAGTGTTGGCAAGCATCCAGGGAAGCCAGGGTTTCAGGTGACCTTGCTATTCTGCATCCTCTCTTCCTTGCTGATTTCAGCCCATGACGATTTCTTCTCTTTGTGCATCACTTACCTAGCAATTCAGGTGTTCTGTAATGGCCGGTCCTTCAGACTATTTACTTTGCCATATTTGCTGGAAACAAACTAGTTTTAACTAGTCCCCTATTACTGCCATTTCATCTGTTTTGAATTTCTTTTGCTAGTATGGAAAAATAGTGACTCCCTTGTATAAAATCTTTGTGTGCTTATTTATGTATTTGCTTAGGATAAGTTTCTTTTAGGTAGAATCACAGATGGGAGTATGTTCCTTTGTAATGCTTTGTGATTGCTGTTATCAAGTTGCCAACCAGTAATAGATTGTTTTGTACTTTAACCAGCAGTATGTAAGAATTTCTGTTATCCTTTAGCCAGTCAACAAGTCTTTTTACTGTGCACACTTAACCAATCTGGGGTTTTAAAGTGGTGTCTTTTAAAAATTACTAATGGAATTGACAGTTTTATTGGCTGTTCATAAATCGTTTGTGCCCATGTATATCCCCCTCCCATTCTCAGGACCATTTGGTTTCCTAAATGTTTATCTCCTCTTTGGCTGTCATACCGTGAGAATGACTTAGCCACTAAGTATACAAAGCAGTTGTTTGGCCTTTTAGAACTACATAAAAGTATTTGCACCTGAAATAAGATGTCTGGCTTTCCTCTTATTGAAGTGAAGAAGAGGGTGAAATATAGATAAAAAGTAGTTAAATATGTATTCCTAATTGTTGAGGCTGGTGAGGTACTTGGTAGTTCATTATATTTTTTTTTATTTTCTCTGTAAAGTTTTTCTTAGTAGTAGTTTCTTGTTTCTTTATTTCAGGTTTATTGGATGGTCGGCAAGGGGCATCAGATGATATCTTGGATTTCTACTTTTATATCCAGCAAGAAATAGTAGTTAATATTGAATGTGTTTCTCTAGGTCCATTATAACTATTTTAAGTTTTTTTACTTTTAATTGACACTTGATAATTGAATATATTTATGGGATGCAAGATAATATTTTCTTAATGCATGTATGCATTGTAGAATGACCAAAGTAAAATCAGTATATTTATTATCTTGATTACTTATTATTTCTTTGTAGTGAAAACATTTAAACTTCTCTTAGCTATTTTGAAATATACAGTACATTAATTTTTTTCAACACATTATTATTAACTATAGTCACAGTGCTGTGCCATAGAATTTATTCCTCCCAGCTAACTTTAACTTTGGATCTGTTGACCAATCAATATCTTCTCTTTCCCTATCTACCCCCACCTTCCATGGCCTCTGATAACCACCATTCCACTCTCTACTTCTGGGCATCTGACATTTGCAGATTCCACATGTACGTGTAAAATCAAAGGGCATTTGTCTTTCCATGTTGTCTGGCTTATTTCATTTAACATAATGTCTTCTAGGTTCATTCATGTTGCAAATGACAAATTTTCCTATTTTCTTCTCTCTCCCTTTTTTTTGGATGAGGGTTTGAACTACAAAGGGCTTTGTGTTTGTAAAACAGGCACTGTACTGCTTATGCCATGCTTCCAGTTCTGTTTTCTTTTAAGGCTGAATGGTATCCCATGGTGTCTATGTACCACATTTTTTTTAGTCCATTCGTCTGCTGATGGACACTTAGGTTGTACCCATAGCTTGGTTATTGTGAATAAGCTTGCAGTACACATGGGAGTCATTTGTATGCCCTCTATTGTTTCATTTTAAAAATAGGGTCATTTTTTTTCTGGTAGTTAATTTTAACTTTTAAATTAACATTGCATAATAGCTTACACATGTAAATAGTATTGCTTATGTTCTACTAATTTTTTTAAAATTTATTTTAAAGAATCCCATAGGAAGGATAAATCTGGCCAATTGCATCAGTCGTCAGATAGACCCAGCCAACAGAGAATTTTGTGCAAGACGCAACACTTTTGAACTGATTACTGTTCGACCACAAAGAGAAGATGACCGGGAGACTCTTGTCAGCCAGTGCAGGGACACACTCTGTGTCACCAAGTATGTATTGCCCATTTTTATTTCTGTGAACTGAGTACTTCCCCATTCTGTTTTTACCATGATAGAAAACATTGAAGATGGTCCTTGGCTCTGAAAAGTATATAGCCCTAGTGAGAAAACACTATACACAGCATTAAGAGAAAAAGCTGCAATAACTAGATTAATACAGTTAGGAAAAGTATATCATTGAGGTTATATCTTTGCTACTCATATTTTCCAGTATACTCACAGTGTAGGTGTTTTCAAGGCAGTTAGCTAATGGTCTTTGGATTAAATTTAAAGATTTCATGTAGCTGAGAAAACAAGCAGTATTCAAGGAGACCTTATAAATCCTTTTCACTAAAAATACCTTCATTTAATCACCTCACTTACAGAAACAATCTCATTCTATTGTGCAGATTTCTGGTTGGTGATCACAGCGTAAACTCTTGGGAATGTTGCTTTTTTGTTAACCCTGAGCTTAAGTATAGGATGCATGAGCTTATTGCTAAGGATCTTGCATAGATTCTTTTGCTCTGATGCCCAAGAGAAGCCTAAAGACCTCCTTCAATGTACAAAGCTGTGACTAGGGACAAAAATTAGAATTTGGCACAGTCTTTCATCATCAGGCTGTTGCTGGATATTGCAGACTTGGAAATGGATAGGCCCAGCTCTGTGGGTTTCTAATGTGACAGTATTAGAATGTTAACAGCCAAGAGACACTATAATAAAATGGAACAAAGTTGTTCAGAAACTGCTAATTTGTTTTAAAATAGCTAGGTAGAAGCTGGCACATACCTGTAATCCCAGCATTCAGGAGGTAGAGGCAGGAGTTCAAGGTTAGCCTAGGCTACATAATGAGCTCAAAACCAAGGACTGGGGATGGAGCTCAGTGGTAGAATACTTGCCTAGCATGCACAAGGCTATAGGTTCAACCCCAGCACCACAAAATAAAATAAAATAAAATCTAGATCAAAAACTCATTCTTTGGAAAATTTACCCCCTCCCCTTTCCCCTTCAGAGGTGACTCTGCTGAGCTTGGGGGGATCTTGGCTAAGGCAGTGGGGTGAGTGCTCACCATGGTGGCTCCACCGACTGGCAGTTCTTGATGTCTAAGACAACTTTCAGATTAATTCATTTTGACTCATCCATTCCTTCCCTTCAGGGACCTTCTGTGTGTTAATAGTAGCATCAGGCAGGGAGGGAAAGACAGACTGTGTTTATAATCATTTTGATCGATAGCTACCCCAGTCAGTGGGAACCAGTCAAAGCTCAGTACCTAAATAGTTCCCCACAACAGCCCACTTCATCCCTTGTAAACATCAGTCATATTTTTCATATAACTGGTTGTATAATCTCCTAGACTTCTCCTTGGGCCTCCCCTGTGGTAGAAGTAGCTAGACCATGTGTTATTCTACTTATTCTGTGCTTCATTTATGTAAGTAGTACTCTCTCCATTGACCACTAAGAGATGGCAAACTCACTACTTATTCATGTTTATGTTATTTTAGTACCACTGGGAAGAAATGTAAAGATGCAAAATGAGTACAACTTTCTAACAGCTAGCTGTTCTCTCTAGAAATAAATCTGGCTATGCATTGGGGATTTCCCCACTTCCTTCCCCCATGTCCCTAACAACTACTTAATCATTCAACTTGCGTTCCTGATAAGCCAAAGTCTTAGGATCTTTAGATAATTTATTATAAATATCATACTCTACTAACATAATAGGGCAGAAATAATGGGAAACAGTGAAAATAGCAGTACCTATAAAGCCAGTGATGGTCCATGAGCCTGTCTGTGATTGTAGCTCTTAGGGAGCCTGAGTCTGAAGGACATCAAAAGCTCCCAAGTTCAAGCCTGTTGTGCTCTTGCTAGGAAGTTGCTCACACTCAGTGGGTGTCCCACCTTGACAGACTACTTTTTCAAAAACACTTACTTTCTTTGGTCATAAACATCACTTACCAAATTAATTAGTGTGAGTTAGGACTAAGTAGGGATAATTTTTCTCTTTTGTACTTGAAGAAAAACCTCACTATGTGGGTCCTTGCATCCATTAAAAGATGGTAAGAGCAGCTCTTTTTAGTGGTTTGTTTAGGGTTTTTTCTTTCTTTCCCCCAGCAACACCACAGGGAGGTATGGAATGAGGGTGAGAGAGAAACCTGAACTCTTGTTTGTTCTTGTAGGAACTGGCTATCTGCAGATACTAAAGAAGAACGGGATCTCTGGATGCAAAAACTCAATCAGGTTCTTATTGATATTCGCCTCTGGCAACCTGATGCTTGCTACCAACCTATTGGAAAGCCTTAGACTTGGAAATTTCCATACCATGTAGAGGCTTTGGAGCTGTGCCATACATGTATTTCAAAAAAACACACCTAAGAGCATTAGATTTGCTGATTGCATTTTATGCTTTAACTATGAAAGGGTTTGTGCAAATATTCACTACATATTATGCAGTATTTATGTCTTTTGTATGTAAAACTTCAACAGGTTTTTCCTGTTCAAAGATGATTGGAAGTCAGTTCATTGTAGTTGATTTGCTAAATCTAAATTTAAGAATCTCATTTTCCTAGAAGTCAGTTATTCATGACAAATTATATATATTTTTTAAAGTAAGAAATTCTGAGTTATCTTCTTGGAGCTGAGTCTTGAAGTAGCAAGATCTTCCAGGGATACAGACAGAAACCTCTGGTTTGGTGATCCTTTCTCTTGTCTCAGTTTTTTCAAAAGGTGTGATCGGTCATCTATGGTCATGATATGACTTGTTAGACTTGTTGAGAATACTGAAAAAATTTCTAAGGGACTTTACAGAAACAATTTTGATAATGGAGATGAGAACTTTCTCAAATAGCAAATGTATATTTGAAAAATACACATTTTGAGGCCTCCTTCAAAGAAGATGTAGTCATAGGAGGCATTATGTGAGATTTAGGGGCCAAATTTTTATATAGAAGAGTTAATAATCACAAGGTTTACATTTACCCAGTTGTCATATGCAGTGTGGTGCACATTTTCATAGAATTCAGGCTTTATTAAAATAATTATTTTTGCTGTATAGGTTTTAGACTCCTCAAACATAAGCATATTGATTTTTTTCTGCTCCAGTCACAAAACAATGTAAATTGAAGAAACTATATAAAAAGAAGTAAACTTTACCAAGCTGCTATGGACTAATACTTTGCTTGCCAAAGTTCTTGTCTTCTTCTTGTTTTTCTTTCCATGTCATATATGCAGCATCTAGAAACCTGTTTTGAAATCATTCAAAAAACTATTAAGTCATGTATTACCTTCAAAAGCCTAATACCTTTTCTTAACATAAAAATACTATAAAGTATGGCCTCAACTTTTAAATACACTTTGACTTTCTTTTCTCAGTTGTTAAAGTTATTGATGATTTCATTATAAACACTAAAATCTGTCACATGTTGTTTTATTTGTTATTCAAATGTGTTTTTTTCTTATGTATGTTATAAAAATATATTTTATGACTCTTACCGAAATAAATAATTGTAAATGGTTGAAGGATCAGTTATTTAAGAAACGCCGTGTGTGGTGTGGCTGCTCTGCATGGGTAGGCTGTGGGGCTTCTATTTTTTTTTTCTTTCTTTTTTTCGTCTTTGTGGGGCTTCTTGAGGGCCTTGTGCTGATGACATCTCATTCGTGTTTTTTTTCTCTATCCCAGTGCTCAGCTTACTGTGTGCTTGGAGTTGCTGTTAAGTGCACAGGTGCATGACAGACCATTTCTGAGGCATTTCAGCTGAATGTGATGCTTGGGTGTGCACTTTGGGAACATGGTGGGTTATTCCCAAGTGCTTAGCAGAAACTGAGGGGGAGAGTGACATCGCCAGCCAAAACAGGGTACAGGTTGGATGTGACTGATGAGAAGTCCCCTTGTATTTATTGGTAGATTTGCATTTATTCCAAATAAACATTACATATAGTGGTTCAAACTTCACGAGGCACAAAGAAGTTAAAGTAAAAAGTCTTCCCTTGTCAGAATTACTTTTGTCAGTTTGTACATCTTCCCATAGAACAAATGGGAATTACATAGATTATATGTGTATTAATACAAATATTTATATTCTTTGTTTCATACTATTTGTTATAAGTCTATCTTTAAAAGTATCCCTTGGAGATCATTCAATTTTAATATATGTAAAGTGTATAACGTTCATTTAGGTTAAGGTAATTTAGGTTAAGGTAAGGTGGAGCATCTGAGTTAGAAATACTCCATGAAACGGTGGAAAATATCTGATGATTTCACTGTCATCTGCCCAGAGGGGCTTGCTGAAATCATTCGAGTAGATAAGATCATCCAGGAAATATAATCTGCAAAGAGAAGCAGTAATAAATACAGTCAGTTCAATAAAATGGTTCAGATGAAAATCAGTTTGCAGTAAAGTCATAAAGGGAAAAGGACAGATTTGTTTGTATAAAATAATCCCTGCCTTACAAATGTTTATAAACAAAGGTAAAACACAAGCAACAGAGAAGAAAATATTCACAACATCCTTAATAATTAAAGTATTTATGTGCAAAATATAAAATAACTCCCATGACAGGCTATCACTGTTTGAGCATTCACTGTGCACCAGGTATGTTACCCTTGGTGTTGTATGCATTGTTTCATAATCTTTACATGACCTTATGAAATTGGCATTAACACTAAAACTTTACTTGGGTGACTTTTCTGAGGCCATATTTAGACCCAGATGCAAACCCATCCTCTGCTCCACAGTCCAAATACTTCTTCATTTTACTGTGACATTTCTCAAAATAATAAGAAAAAGAAGATTTAACTTAAAAACATGAACACAAATCTGAAAAGCCAACAAACATAAAAATAATAAACCATTAAATAAAAAAATACAGTTTTATATGGCTGTGGTTATTGGCCCACAGGGTCTGGTATTTCTGAGAAATTCTATACACTTGGTGAGAATAGAAACTGACATTTAAATCAGTTAAATAGCTGATTTAACTCCTTTGTCCATATCTCCTCAAACTTGAATGTGAGCAGAGATATACATAAAAAAATGGTCATAATAATACAGTTTTTAATGTGAAAAAAGGAAATAGCCCAAAGATCTATCAACAGGGAAGAAAACTGAGATATCTGCAAGCTCCCCCTACTTTTTTTTTTTTTTGCAGTACTGGGGCTTATACTCAGCACCTACACCTTGAGCCACCCCACCACCCCTTTTTGTGATGGGTTTTTTTGAGATAGAGTATTAAGCTGGCTTCGAACCTTGATCCTCCTGATCTCTGCCTCCTGAGTAGCTAGGATTACAAGCATGAGCCACTGGCGTCTGGCTTGGAAGCCCCTTAATAGGAGATTATGGTACATTATTTTCCACAAAACACCATTGATGGTCAAAAGAATGAAGCAAGCCTATATATTTTATTGATTTGGAAAATTTTCCAGAGGAACTTGTGGGCGGAACAAAAGGAATATGTTATGCCACATGTGCAATATAGACACATAGATAACTAGATAAAAGTATGGAAGGAACCACATCGGGTTGTGTATGGGAAAGAGTTGGTAGCAGTGTTGGGTGGAGCAATGCTTTGACCACACTTTTAGATTATTTGATATGTTTATAATGAGTATTTTCATATATTGCTTGTGTACATGAACTTAGGAACACTTTAAAATTAAAGTCAGTGGCTGGCTGCCCTTGATCATAAATGTAACAGTACTGCCATCCAGAAATGTTGTAACATTTAAAATCTTATGCTTAAGGACTGGAGTTGTGGCTCAAGCAGCAGAGCACCTGCCTTGCAAGCATGGGCCCCTGGGTTCAAACCCCAGTACTGCCACACAAAAAATTAAAACCAGAATGAAAAATTGAGTGAGTGGGAGACTTAAGTAGATACTACAGGATATGGGATTGTGAAGGGAAAGGCCCACGTTGGATAATAGTTTGGTGGGAAACATTGAGTGAAGGGTATTTGTGGACGAGAAAATGACTGTGTTCCTGTGCTGATGGGGAAGAGCCAAAGTGAGGGAGGGAGAACCTGAAGATAGTGTTAAGAAGGAGTACAAAAGATGGAGAAAGGTGAATCTGTGAAGCACGATAAAAGATGATAGGACCTAGAAGATAGGTAGAGTTCAGACCTCATGCCAGCAGCCAGCATTTATTTACATAGTAACTTTGTAAGTATTGATGGAATCCGCTCCTCAAACCTAGCAATCATGTAGGGTCAGACAGCTGTGGAATTATCTGTGAGTCCTCCTTGTTAATGAAGCGTGCTATCCAGTGGGATCCATGTGGAGGCAGGGCAACTGTGGTGTGGAACATTTGCACATGTGTTTCCAGACATAAAGCCACAAGTGATAGAGCACTGGCCTAGCAATGCAAAGGCCTGAGTTCAAACTCCAGTACCACACGCACACACAAATGAAGCCAGGGTTGGGTTAACATTAGTTGATGAATCTCTGTAAAGGGAAGTCAGAGGTCTGTAATCCCTGAGACTTTCTTTATATTCCCAAGAGTATAAACCCTAAGACGGCATATCCCTTTCCCATTTTCAAGATGGTGTCTAAAAATTTTTTTAGTACTTTATTTTCTGTCATATTTAGAATAGTGACATTTCAGATTGAAAACTTTGCTATTCTTTTAATCAAATCTAAAAGACTTTATAGCCTTCCTTTTACTTCAGTTCTCTCACATAATTTTATATTAATGTAATATTTTTATGTTTGGAAAAATATATAAGTGAAACAACTTTTAATCATAATATTTTAGTTTATTTTTCTTTTTGTCAGTACTTGGGTTTGAACTCAGGTCTTTGCACTTGCAAGGCAGGCACTCTACTGCTTGAGCCATACCATCAGTCCTTAAGCATATGATTTTAAATGTTAAAAACATTTCTGGATGGAATTATTGTCACATTTATGATTAACAAATATTCATTTGAAAAATTTAAACATGAAAAGTAAAATTTTACAAGATGTATCAAAGAGGTGGATCTTTTAATTAAGTTAGTTTATGAGCAGATCATTTTTTTTACTGAGATGTGGTACATCATTAATTCTATCCCTTTTCATTTTTATAGATATTGGAAGGTGTTTGTGTATAACAAAGCCACACAATACTTTGATATTTCTTTTTTCTTTTTTTTTTTTTGCAGTACTGGGGCTTGAACTCAGAGCCTCATGCTTGCTAGGCTTAACTAGGCAGGCACTCTACCATTTGAGCCTGCTTTGACATTTCAAATGAGCTATCAAAAATTATTTTTGATAAACTCAATTATTTTTAGCTAATATAGCAAGGAGGATACAGGTTGTGCTACTGTAAAAACAA